ACAATTTGCCTGTCCCACTAAGTCTTTATTTATTGAATTTTTATTGTAACATTAAAACAGTATGAGTAATAATATAGTAAAAAGATTACAGTACTGTTGTTTGAGGGGTGGGATTGGGAGGGGGAAGGAAAAAGGGGATGGGTTAGGGAGGGGAGGGAAGGGGAGGGGAAGGAATAGAAAGAGGTTACTGACAAGGAAATAACAATGCTTTTATTCATCACTTTCTTACAATTTCCAAGAATATTTATCATTTGGCATTACAAACTTTATTCCAGCAACAGTTTCTCAAATGATATCTATCATCTGGTAACTCTCTCAAGGTTTTACTCACAATCTATCCCTGGAGTTAATTTCCTAGAGCCTTTATTAGATTAATCCAATCATCTTTGAAATTTCATTACAATTTTATCCATGTCTAATTCACACATCAAAATGTTGATTTCCCTGCAGTCCCCCCTAAATAGAATCTTAAGGTAAGGTTAGGGAGGGTTAGAGGGACAAATAAGTACACGTGTCCACTTCTTGTTGTATCTTATCTTATCCTATCTTATCCTAACTTATCCTATCTTATCCTAACTTATCCTATCTTATCCTAACTTATCCTAACTTATTCTATCTTATCCTATCTTATCCTATCTTATCTTATCCTATCTTATCCTAACTTATCCTATCTTATCTTATCTTATCTTATCCTAACTTATCCCCTAACTTACCCACCCACCTAAATTACTTAATAATCCCTCCCAGCCTAAAATTTTTAATGATTATGTATCCCCTATTACTTAATTGACTATAGAAGAAAAGAAAAACAATGCAATATTCAAAACCAACTCAAAAACCATTCTACAATCTGAAACAACCAAAGCTTCCATTCTCATCAGATGCGTGTTCCCTCTCCAGCTGAGTATGTAGTACGGTTCCTGCAGACACTTCTCTTCCGCAGGTGGTCCTTCATGACAGCTCCGGCCTCTCCAACACGGTGCTCTCTGTTGTCAATCTGGTAACTGGGTGGGATGTGGGATGTCGACGACGTGTGACAGCCAGATCAGTTCAGGAGTCCAAGAGGTACCTGCAAACTTAAACACAATTCTAGACTGCACCATACAGATGCCCATCTCAAATTAGTATCTCCGCCAAATGCCTCCAGGTTCAAACTAAACTGACCCTTCATGATGACCTTCATGACCAGCAATAGGAACATCCCCTTCATCATTAATGAAAAATAAAAATTTGGGACGACAGCCAATTAGCTAATTTTGTCAGTTTGTATTCTCCTCCTTTTCCAACTTATCTTTCTTTCCTAATAAATGAATAAAGGCATATTTTGTTGGAAATGCCAAATAAAAGAAAAATAATAAAAGGAACGATTAGTGTAAATTTGATCAACAGAAGCAAAATAAAAGGAAACTTAACAAACTAAAAAACAAAAGGAAACTTAACAAAATTTCAGCATTATAAATTTGAAGAGTACTTATCCTTAACGCCTAACATTGATAGCTAGTATATATAGGAACAGAGCATAGTACACACTGCCGAAAGTCACTGGCAAGCTTCAAAAAACAATCCAATGTGTGTCAGGGATATTGTCTGTGAAGCTGTGAGCTGTCACACCAGCATGTCCTCCCTGACGGCTATGGTCAGCTTCTCCAAATACTCGCTTGCAGTTGTGGCAAATGTCCGTGTGTCTATGCCAGGGCTGCAGGTGATGGCCCATTCCTAGGCACTCTGCAGCTTGAAGATCAAATCAATTAAAAAATGCATGAAGGATGGAATTGAGTTCTGAGGTAAACTGAAGTGATGCTTCACAAAAATCAGAAGCACAAATGCACCATTTAAAAGTAATTAATGTAAAACACATGATGATTGACGACGAGCTTTCTGATCCCATTGAACAAGAATCAATAGCCAATTAGGTTTCTTTTTTGAATTTCATATCCTTTTGTGTGTGTGTGTGTGTGAATTTTAAAGACCCAATTGATAGATTTGAGATTGTAGGTGTATGTATAGTACTTTATAATTCAATGGAAATTCTGAAAGCCTAGCCAACACTTGAAAGTAACATACTTAACAAAACAAAACTACTAAACTACTTAAACATGCAAGGATAAGGGAGAGATCATGTGGATGGAAAAGGAAACTTCACCATGAAGACAAAAAAAAACCATGTTGTGTCCTACTGCTCAAACTGTGTTTGGCAACTGGAGACTGTGCTGAAACACATGCTCCGTTAGACCTGCCTCTTTCATCTCCTTGCATGGCAGCAAAATGGAGTCAGCAGTCAGGCAGGAAGGAGACAAATCCTGCAGCAGGGTTAATGGCAGAAGCAAAGAATCAAACAGAAAGAGGTTAGACAAATGTTCAAGGTAGTAGCAAGAGACCTCATTCTTAAAAAGCCAGTATCTTCAAGTTGATGTCCTGTGCTCTAATTCTTCAAATACATCTTCTATGTTGGGAGTGTGCATCTGGGTGCAAAATCATTTCCCCTCTCTAAACATCCTCACGATACAGGCTGATAGGGTGCCCAGATGCATAAGGAGGCAGACACTTTGCTGGTATGATGATGGTAAGATGTTGTGTCAACGCCAGAGTTCTTGGGTACATGTGATCTGCACCAGAACATGAAGGCACACTCACAAGTCTATCTAAGAAAGCACTTCCTTTTCAAGAACCAGTCAAGTTGCTGCTCCTTGAAAATTAACGGAACCATGAAGATGGAGTTTGAAGATGGTGAAGTTTCAGAGGGTGCAGCAAGAGAATCACGGAAGCCTTTCCATGCTGCACCAGAAAGTCTGGCTTCCTTTATAAGGTGCCCGTCCCTTGTACGGGCGAGGTCCTGTGTTCCTCTCCTCCCCCTCTGTAAGAAATCAGCATGTCCTGTGTTTGCATCAGCTTCTCTTACTAATTGGCAGTTCAGTCCCGTGTGCCTTTGTGCCTGAGGTGGCCTGAAGATCCAGTAGCACACAGTCCTTGATTGAGAAGCTACACAGGAGAAAGTTGAGGGCGGAGGCTCTCCAGAGAACAGGTATTTATTTACAAGGTACTGTAGGAAGGAGGTGGTGGAGGTGGTGGCGGTGGCGGAGGTGGTGGAGGTGGTGGCTGCGGAGGAGGATACTGGGGCACTGGAAGAGGATGATGGTGGTATCCGTGTGGACACCAGGTGACCACAAAGGGCATGAAGATCACTCTTCCATGAACATCTCGTCCCACTGGGTACCATGCGAACATCAGGTGATGACCTGCAAAGGTAGCATAGGCCGGGGCATGGTGGTGGTGGGGGTGGTGGTGGTGGTGGTGGTATCCACCATGACCGTGAGGGACGAATTCTCCGTAGGTTGCCAGGTGCGCCTGGTCCTCCATGTTTGGAAGAGACATGCGATGGTACTGATTCTGGACTGTGCAGTTGTGGGGAGCTCTGCAATTGTAGGTGACTTGGAGTTTCCATCCTCTCTTCACTTGAAGGACCTGGGCTCCATTGGGAGCGACGGTCGGAGTCATGAGTCCATTCTTCACGTTCCTGTCCACGAAATCTCGCAGGGCCGCCATTTCGGATTCGGACAGGGAGTACACATGTCCGCTGGGAAGGCTGTGCGCTCCGGGGATCATCTCAATGTGAGGGTCGACCAGCCGGTGACCCGGGTAGGCGTGCTCATCCACAGGAGTGTACACATTCTGCACATAGTAGTACCTCACAGGCTGGTAGACTCTGTATCCATCCACGTGGTAGAAGAAGGGGAGGTGTGGAGGATGAGGTACTGGCAGCAGCATAGGAGGAGGTATTTGGGAATACATCCTGCAGTAGAATCGGCAGTAATCAGAGTTGAAGACGATGGAGCGAGTGCTCCAGGTGATGTGAGGATCGTGGGTGCTCAGCCAACGAACTCCCAGGACGATGGGGAAGAACGGAGACTGCGTCACATCAAAGGACAGGATTTCTCGGTGATCACCCAGGTCAACAATCAGGTGGTGCGTTTCCAGAACGATTGGGCCCGAGGCTATAGGATGCCCATCAATTGCTTCCACCATGATTGGCCATTCCTTGATTCTCAGAGGGATGGCGTTCTGGATGACATATTCCTGATCGATGAAGTTGCCGGAGGCGCCAGAATCAATCATAGCTCGGACGAACAGGGTGTTTCGGCCGGGGATATGGATCTGGAGCATCACCTGCAGATGCGAAGTCGGAGCCTCGGGGGTTGGGGACCTTGTACGTTCAGGCCCAGTCGCTGCACGTCCCTCTACAGCGGGGCCGGGGAGTTTCCCGACGGTGAATTCCTGTTGTTGTTTCCCTTGGCGGGGCAGTTGTCAGCGTAGTGGCCTCCGTTGCCACAGTACAGGCACAGGTTCAGCTTGCTGTTTCTCTCCTTCTCCTCCTGGGTCAGGCGC